AAACAAATTTTAATTTTATTCGAAGTCTTACTCTCAAGTGATGAAGGTCATAAACAAGGCTTCTACCGTAACATGCTATTTCCATAATTTGTTCTGTGCTTGGTGATTTAAAGTCCTTGACTGTCGAACTATCACAATCTATTACATTGAAACATGAGGATATTATCAATACATACCCTCCTATAGGACTAAAAATAAAAACCTAGGATTTCATTACGATCGTTTTGCATTGTTTTTTTGTGGGTTGTTGGGTGGGTGAGTTTTGTTGTTGTTGTTGTTATTTTTGCTGCTGTTAAATGTCCATTATGGTGGTGCTTACCAAAAGGAAGTGATTTCAGCCTTCAGATTAACCTTTACAGAAAAAGCCTATTGAGGAGACGAGTGTCTGTTGAACTTGTGCCTGTTCTTTTTTTTTTTGTATTAAGATGAATGTGAGTAGGGGGTGCCCGCAGCATTGGATTGTCTTCGATGTGGAGATACCTGAGAGAGGGACTGGATACTTGCACATCTTCCTATGTCTTGCACAAATAGCAGTTAACTGCTTCCTTATCCATCTTTTCCCCTCATTGCTTGCTAGTGGAATTATCAATTAGATCTAAGATCTTCAAGGGTGGGGTATTTCTGTAAGGTTTTCTTCTGTTTGCATACGAGGTTCTGCTACTCTTGTCTGTCACTACAAAATACACGAGTGCAATCTCAAACTGCACTGAAATCGTTTGCAAAAATGATGTTGCCAATAGTGACAGGGCGTTCATCTCAGTCTTGGCATCTATGGTGGATACGCCTATAAATAGTCCGACTTCAACTTTTGGCACATCTTTGGAAGAACCTGAAACTCACGTAGAAATTTTAGCTCGATATTTTGGTCAGTATTCCCTACATGTGCAGTGGAAATCTGTTTCATCTCTAGGCCACAGACAGTTCATGTGGGTGAGAAGATGCAATACATATTCTTGGATACTGTAGGGCTCACTTCATTCTTTCAATGTAGGACCGCTCCATGATAGAATAAAAGTCTGCCCTCCCTTTATGTATTTTATCTCCTATATCCATTTTATCTAGGCTGTCCTGGAGATTCGATGTGGGTGTTTACTCCATTCCTTTAAACGCTCTTTTCCCAAGTTTTTGCACTGTCCTACCCTACATTTTTTGGCCATCAAACACCACCATGTTCATTTTTGGATTGTTGGCTGAATAGCAGTCATCACTGGCGAAGTTGAAGATTGTCTGCACCGAGCTTTGCAAATATTCAATATTTTTAGACAGGAGTTACGTGTCACCACTGTTGTGAGTAATTCTATCAATGTAGTCCCAATTTAGTCCCAATTTAGTGCACAAGATTATTCCGTGTGTAGGAGATTATTCTTCCAGCATTAATAGGGGTTTGAGGATAATGTGGTGCCTTGCTTTGGAAACAGTCCCTGAATTGGTGTAACCACTTTCCTTACTAACTTATGCCATTGTACTTTTTTATGGAGAAGCCAGAGTTTCCTGTGATACCACGTAGATATAACTTTCTCATAGGACCTTTATGTCATACAAAGTTAAAAGCTTTTTCAACATCATGGATGGCTAAGGCGAGTGCATTGTTTGAATCTCTTGCCTCAGTGATTGCCTCTGTTATTGTTTTGCGATCCTTCGTATGATGCTCAAAGAGTCATCTCTTTTCAGAAAGCTGCCACGTATTTCCCTCTTACTGTGTGCGTCTTTCAGTTCTCTATAGGCACGAACTAACTTTTCTTTCCACTGGTTTCTGTTGCTTGGTTTCTTGTAACGACTATGGCCAGGGGTAGCAAATGTGGCCTGTTTAAGGATTTTTCAAAGTGAGGTACATTTAGTGGTATTTGAAATGATCTGTTATTGTGCAGGCATTGTCCCATTTGGTCTAGAAATTTGAAGACTGTGTCTCTGAGTAGATACAAGTCTAACTTGTCCCATCTGCGTGTGTTAGTCAAATTTCCTTGATATTTGCTTTATTCTCTGTGTGTATGCGTGCGTCTGTGTGTGTGTGTGTGTGTGTGTGTGTGTGTGTGTATTAAAGTTACCTCTAATTAACAATGTTACCATTGTATAAACTAGCTAAAGTTTGGGGCAGATAATACTCAAGGAATTATGTATAAGATAATTCGAAAACTGCAACACATATCCGGGGGAAGGAAGATCATGAAAAAGGAAATAGTGTCTGACAGGTCTTGTGCGATATGTGATATCTTATTAGGGACGTAATCTTCGACTCTCTTGATACATGGTAGTCTTTTCAGTTCAGCCACAACGTGTGTCGGATATTAGTTTAAATATGTTACTTAAATTTATGAGTTTTGTTCCTAAATATTAATAACTTACCACGTTACGAAAATATTCAGCATGAAAATAGTGGCACTGACTGCCTCTCATACATACAATGCAAATCAGCTGTGTTTGGTACTCTATTATGCCAACACGGTATCTCATATTTCAACCTGTGAGCCTTTATTTACTTTTTCACAAGTAGATCTGTATGGCTTTATTTTAGGTTTTAAAGAAAAACTTTTAAAAACTATTACAAAAATAATTGAAAATAATAAAAGGAAAAAAGTCAAACCAGCTGCATAGTGTGCCGACATAGGACTTGATCAGTATAGATTACCTTTTTTGCGCAAAGAACACATATTACTGGTTGACGCATAATTTACCGGATAAAGAAACGGCCACTGTCTATACTTGAAAGAAATCGTATTTTGCTTTTGAACATTTTGTTTCTTGCTTTTTTTCTTCTTCATCTTAACTAATTATATGATGGAAGTTATTTGTGCGAGCTAACCATTTCCATGTCATTATTTATTCCCAGGTCAATTTTCTGAGTCTGGCAATTTGCTCCAGGGAGGCATTCAAATCCATGCAAAGCAAACACGTAAATGATGACCATATATTCTTGGTCAACAGGTAATCCTAGATAGAAATATCGACGCTGTGTGTGTATGTATGTATGTATGTATGTATGTATGTATGTATGTATGTATGTATGTATGTATGTATGTATGTATGTATGTATGTATGTATGTATGTATGTATGTATGTATGTATGTATGTATGTATGTATGTATGTATGTCTTACAAACACTAGATTATTTTGGATGACCCAATAGTGTATGCATTCAGTATTCAAGTGAACATGTGTGTGTGTGTGTGTGTGTGTGTGTGTGTGTGTGTGTGTGTGAGAGAGAGAGAGAGAGAGAGAGAGAGCTTTCTGTAATTTATGGTCTGATAAAAATTTTGTTTGAAAGCTTTTTTAACTTATGATTTATGTTTGTTATTATTCATCTGCTCACTTTTTTGAAACCTTTTATATTTTCACCTATTTGTGATTGAAGTGGCACATACTAATGTTTTTAAATCCCATGTCTTCTTGTCCTGACATGGCCAGGTGAAACTTATTGGTTTTTCCTGTTTTTATCACACAAAGTCTCACTCGCTGTTGGATACCTTTTTACGCCTCCCCCTTTCTTATTTGTAACATCAGAAAGGGAAAATTCAAGTTTTGGTACTGTGCATCCCCACCCCATCGCCACTTTTGAAAGTCTGCCCGAATCATATAAAATGCGATTATACAGAACTCACTTGATACAATCACATACAATTTGGAACACGCGTGTATGCATTTGTAAATGACTTTATTAGGCTTAAAGAGCATTGTTCAATTTGTTTTGTTTTCGCCAATTAGTACGTCCTTGTTAGCGCAATTATTTAGACCCAAGCAAGCATAGCTTGAAAGGCCGTTTTTATATAAACGTAGATGAACTGATTAAGTTTAAGCAAATATTTCTTATTTGTTTTGCTTTATATGCTATTGGACTTGTCTTGAAGTAGAAAAACTTGTCAGGGGTGTGAATATTCCTCGTGTCCGTCAATCCGTCCACCCATTCTTCCCTCCAATACGCAGTCTCCTTAGCGCATCTAGTTCCCCAGCTTTTGATAAATGCCATGAAACCTTGTAAATATTGTGGTCATGAGATGAAGATCTGAACACAGACAAATCACTTTGCTCCTGCAATTATGTTTAGTTATTGCCCCTCTTTGCATTATACCCTTTTATGTTACAATCATTTTAATGCAACTAGTCCTTGCGTTTTTGATGGTGCGACATGTTAAGGTTATACATGTAAACGTAATATGGGCATATCAACAAACTGATTTGCGCCTGTAATTTTTTTTTTGGAGTTATTGCCCTTTTATCTTCCAGCATAATGGGGGTAATATCTCATTTGAGTAACTATTCCGCAGTCTTTGATGGATTGCAATGAAACATGGTAAAATATGCTCAGTATCACTTGAAGATGCGCATATTGACAAATCGATTTTATCCCATACTTTTGTTAGAATTATTGCTATTTTTTTAATGTTGCCTAATACAATGTATACCACAATCTCCTTAGTGCAACCTGTGATGTAGTTCTTGTTGGATTACCATGAAGCTTGGTAATATTATCATATGAAGATGCGCAGATTGACAAAATCACTTCGTTCCCATATTTTGGGTTGTTATGGAACCTCTTGTCTCCCAGCTTAATGTAGCTTATAACTCAATATATTTAGCAACCTAGCCGTACGGATACTTTTATGGCTTGCATTGAAACTTTGTAATCAATAAGCAAACAATGCGCAATATTTGTTAGAGTTCTTTCCCTTATTTGTACTGTTGCTTGTGGGAGTCAATTTTGGAAAATAGGTTATTTACCAGCCTCAAGCATTTGTAACAAGCACTTAGATAATTAAAATTGCATCAAATTACGCAGAAAGTTAAAAGTTATGAGTTAACTATACCAAAAGGAATGTATCCATTCGTCCTTCATGTTTGGACAACACGAGGGTAATTTAAATGTTCTAATTTATTGTGTTATTACTCATTTTTGTTTCTTTGAATATGTCAATGAATTTGTTGTTGTTGCTTGGATTTTTAACGACCTCTTAATGATGAGCTCCAAGCGAGGCAGCTGTTAGTACCATTTTTAAAGTATTTCTTATGACTCGGCTGCAGATTGAACTCACGACCTCCCGAATCAGAGTCGGACGCTATAACCACTAGGCCACCGGAGCGATACTAGGATTTTAATGCCGTTCGATCGACCAAATACAGTTTTATAAAATAATCTGCAAATGTATGTACAGCACGCAGAACAGCTTTTTCATATGTATTTAACGGTTTAAAGCTATCAAACCAGTTTACCTTTTAAAATTATCATTTGACATGAAAACGATTGAATTTCAAGTTGTTACACTCATTTTATTGATTCACACATATTAGGAGTATACACTAGCTTCCACGATAGATCAAGAGTACCCAAGTCTGGGGAGCAGTTCCAATTTAACATTTCTGTTAGCATGGGGAGCAGTTATTAATGAGAAATAGCATCTAAAACTTCTGTACCACACATCTCACATCTTTTAAGATTAAGCGAACATCACATTGTGCTTATGGTTGGATAAAAAAACGTACAATTTCTGCCAAAATAAAATGATTAAACATAAAATTTACTGTCTTTGAGGCTATACTAAACAACTTTGAAGTCCCATTGTAATGCACTGATTCCAAAACAGTACTAAACTATCTACACTTTAGCACCTTTATAAAAGTTAGTAAATAAGACAAAATCACTTAATCAGTCTGGTTTTCGGATGACTTTTCCCCTCTACGTCTGTACTGGAGTGTTGGCTCCAATGGGCACAGCTGGTTATTGGGTGTGGCCATACAAAAAAGACATGTTGTTTGGTCGCATCCTCATGTGGTGACACGGACTGCATTCTACTATAGACGTTGTGCTGGACTCCGAATGGGTCATAACTGGATAATGTGGAAATTCTGTGTCTGTAGATGAGTTTGTGTTGGCTGGAAGTAGAAGTAGATTCTTGTGGCTTTTCATCTGCTGTACATGGATGGGCTTGCGCCTGTAGGTAGGGCCTTTGGGGGAGTTGTTACCAAACAACTTCAATGGTCTTCATCAACTTGAATAACTATGCCCGGTGTTGACCACTTTTTATCATTTGCATGCTGTTTAAGTCAGACTCCGTCGGCCTCAACAATATCTGGTAAATTATAGCAGAATGGCGCCTGTTGTTGTAGAATTCATATCCGTTTTGCTGTAAAGTGTTTTTGTCTTAGATTTTGAGGTTTGGCTACTTGGGAGTTTAGTTTCTTTGCAACAGTGGGCAAGGTGGTCCTTATCTGCCATCCCATCGCAACTGTTGATGTCAAGGCAAAAATATAAAATTTTGTTTTGTTATTTTGATACCACTGTCGGCTTCACCCTTTACTTGTTGCTAATGGGAACTGGCAAATATATGGTTGAAGTTGTATTTCTCAACAAACTCCTTGAAATCTGAAGAAGTAAATTGGGTTTCATTGTTTAATAGTGCAATTTCTGTGATTCTCCATCGTGCAAATGTGTTGTTAGTTTTCCTATTACTTGCTGGGAAGATGTTTTTCTTAGGTGCATAATTTCCAACAAGCGTGAGATGTAGTTTGATTTTACAAATATATATATATATTTTTATCTGGAAGAGGGTTGTCTTCAATGGTTATCGCATCTGTGCTGGCTTCCTAAACTGACAAAACGCACAGGTCTCAAGTTTGTCTTGGATCTGTCTTTCGATTCCCGGCCAACACAAAAGTTTGGGCGCTTTCACGGCACATGGATAATCCCTGATGACCGTCGTGGATACTATCAATAAATTCTCACCGTAAGACTGTAGGTATTATAACTCTGAAGAGAAACATGTTCTTATGAGTGGAGAGTTCACTGCGTACAGCAAACTATGGACATATATCTATGGGACAGCCATTTTATATTATTTGGCCATCAATTTCAGATGAAAATCATTGCAGTCTGCAGATTGTAGTAACTCTTCATGACCTTGTAGAGTGCTCCGTGAAAGAGTGTCTGGAACCACCAAAAGCTTCACAGCTACGTGCTCTGCCTTTGCATTGAAGCGTCTCAAACGCATCAACAGTAGCTGACACATGAAAGGTGATTTATCTAACTCGTATGTGTTACTAAGTGGCACTAAAGGTTTGTGTTCGGTATGCAGTCTGAACAACTCTTTCTCTATCCATGCATACTGAACCTAATCAGAGGTGTGTGTTCTAGAATAAAAAGCATCGGCATGAGAAACTCTTCATGTTGTTGGAATAATGCACCACTAATACCATAATTGCTGGCATCAGCGTTAACAACTGTTAACTTTCCATGTCGTAGAATGCTACAAACCGGCGTAGATGTAGCATTTCCTTGACTTTCGTAAAGATGGAACATTGGTCTAGGCTCCAATACTAGGCATATCTGATTTCTGCAAGTCCATATTGTTTCGCATTATTATCGACAAATCTGGGAGAAATCCATAAAAGTAGATATTGGTTCGACGAAGCTCAACCATATTTTATGCAGCATGTGGGTCTTTTTTACTTGCGAAAACCTTTGCCGGACAGGGGACTATGCCATCTAAGCTGATCGCGTGACCAAAGAATTCCGGTTTGCTCATCCTAAATTCACATTTTTCCTTGCTAAGCTTGAGCCCTCTCCTACTTAGCTTATCCTGCATAAAATGCAGGCGTTGGTCATGCTCCTCCATGGTTTTGTCATCCTAAATATCTACTTCACCTTCAAAGACAGTCATTAGCTCAGTCATTTTTTTCTTTCAAAAGTTTCTGGTGAAAATATAACACCAAATGGGACTAGAATGAAGCAAAAGCAAACCTGCGGTGTAGTCAGCTATGCACTTTCTGAACGTAAGTTTTTCTTTTTAATGAAATCAACTTACTGCATCGAGTTTGGAGAGATCATCTGGAATATGGAGCATATATCCTTCTCAATGGACAGCCTCATTAAGCTTCTTAAAGTCAGCACACAAAATTCTGACTTTGCCTTTCTTGTTTTTAAACTGATACCATTGGTATCACTCTGGGGGCTTAGTTACTTCTCATTAAAGCCTTCCTGCTGAATATCGAGCAATTCTTCGATCACCTTGTACAACAAAGGGAATGGTACGCGCATGGGTACATCTATATCCTTGAGTACGAATTTTACTGGCGCATACTTCAGCCGGCCTACGTTTACAAAGGCTGTTTTGTTGATCTCTTCAACTCTTTACACAAGACAATGAGCAACCACACAGTCAAGAAGATTGTTAGCAACTGATCCCTTGATGACAAATATCCCGAACTATTACGATACTTCCTTATATGAAGTATGTGTCATAAAGTCACCTCTCGAATCCAGAACCTCTTTTGTGTTACACAACGTAGATTCCGATTGTTTTATCTTTGGTTTTGTTGGAAAAGAGTTATAGATGGCTTCCGACATTACTGTTACGTCTGCTCCAGTATCTATCTTGAAGTAAACTGAGGCTCCATAAATGTTCAAAATCATACGCCATAGAAATCATCGCACATAGAGCCTAGGAAGAACGTTTCTTGGAGTTCTGTAAAATATATAGCAGATGTTCCATTGAATGAAGCCTCATTTACTCTTCTTGAGCGACAGCCAATGGCATATTGGTTCAGCTTGTTACTGCGTCTGCACCGGTTTCCTTTAGCGGGATTTTTTTCACCTCTACAGCACCTCCTTTTGCATTTGTAACGTGTTTGTTGTGAGGTTGTTTGCCCAGCATGATTTGGTTTTCGCCAATGACGTGGTTCATTTTGATTGGTTGGTCCTAGTTTTGCGCCTGATACCTTGAAAAGTTGTGGCTTTTCGGTAACATCTTTATCCAAGGTTTCAATGACAAGACGATCCCTTATTGCTTCTTCCTTCTGTGCACCGACGTCACAATAATCTAAAATCTCACAAAATTTCTTACGAATTTCTTTTCTTTTTTGAGTAAGTAGATAAATACATGCTCTTGTGTAAATTACATTGCTACTGGGGACAAAGTACTCATCAAATTTATGTAAAGCAAACTGAAACGAGTTAAGTATTTGTTCTGCTTCTTTCCCCTCTTTATATATAAGTTAACGTACTTAAACTGCCTCATCTTCCTTTTTTAGTTTGGTGGCGATCCTAAAGCGCGTGAAACGCTGTTTCAAATCCACTGTCTTCCCAAAGTTAACGATCTCGGTGCCTGGAATTTCGCCAATATAAATGACTACAAATGCTTACGTATTTTTTAGAGTAACATCTAACACCATGTCATGAAAACAAGGGAGTTTCAAGTTGTTACACAAATAGTATAAATTCAAACGTTAGGAATACACATCAACAATTTTCTGGCTGGAGAGCAGTTTCTATTTAATATTGCGGTTATTAGGAAGTATTTGCAGTTATTAATTAGAAATATCATGTAAAACTAATATACCACATACCATCCTATTATTATATTTCTGAAATTATTTTGTATTAATTTGTTTTAGCAAGATTCTTTCAATAGCCGATTCATTGTATTAGACTTAAACAGGTTTTCGAGGATAGCAACGACTCACCTGTGAGCTATCTGATGAAGCTAATGTTTTGCTTGCGCGAGTGTTACGTTGTGAAAAAAATTGCTGATGCTGATGATTCATGCGTCATGTGTACATATCTATGAAGCGCCGTTGTAGACAAAAGCTGGTCCAATGAGAAAGTTGCAGTTGAAGTTTCGATGTCGTATTTCGAGAAATAGAATATCACGTGTTGGATCAAATTTCATACAGTTCCATTTTCAAGATCGAGATTTTAGATTTTACATGTTAAATTATACAGTGGTGGTTTAAAAGTTCTATTTCCTATGTCGACGTTTTACAGTGTATATTTTGAATTACACAGTTGGTTGAAATTTCAATATCATATGTCGAAAATCCCTAATTCACACGTTGTATGTAAATGTTTGTGATCAAAATTCCATTTCATATGGCGAGTATTTAGATTTCATCTGTTGAATTTCACAGCAATGAGAAGCAGCCTCGTTGTCTTAAAATAAGGCGGTCCGTTTACGAGAGCGATCTCTACAAAAAACATTCATAGTAATTATCGAGCTGTGAATACTAACTTTCAAACTGTAAATGCATTAAATCTAATTGATCCTCGTAATTAATTGAATACTCGAATGGTGTATCTTAGTACTCGATA